GGGAAGGGAAGGGAAGGGAAGGGAAGTTTGCTCAAAGATCCTTGGTTTTTCCATAAATAATTTAAATTCAAGGGCTAAAGCGTGAAGTCATACAAATAGGATCTGATCAAGTCGGGTAACGGAATTATTCTCATGAACTGCATTTTGTTTTAAGCCTTATGAGAAAAAAGTCTCAGCCGCGTATCTGCAGAGCATTGAAGATGCCTATAAGAAATCTTTCCTGCCACAGATCAGGTAAGCGGCATGTGGGACGTACCAATTCTAAATCATCAGAATTCTGTGGAATGTGCTCTGAGCTTTTTAATCGAGTTATGCTTTTTAAACTTTAATAATCACTGTTTCCTTTACTTGTTTACTTGTTTTATATTTGTGTGCACCACTCAGTCACTTGTAGTGTGTGCGTTGTGTGTGTGTGTGGTGTGTAGCATTCTGGCAAACGACTGCCAAGTGATACAAGGTTAGTTTGGCAAGATCGGTTTTAGATAAATTCACGCTGGGGTCTGAGGATTACGTTTTTGTCTTCAAGCTGTCGACTGATCTCTTTGTTACTTGCCAAATGCCAAGCTGAGTTGCCTCTCTCTTCATTACCCTTCGGGGCTCCTTTCCTTCTTTGGGTCAGAGCACCTTCAAATTATAGGCAGGACATTCGATACTGAACAGGAAAAAGAAGGACGCCTATGGAAGAGGAGGATTTGGGGGGATTTGGAGAGGATGCCACGGAGAAGAGGCATTGGCCAGTTCCCCAAAGCCCCCGAGGGAAGAAAAAGAAGGAAGGGGGGGGGGGGGAAGCTAGTTAAAAGAGAGATCCAACCTAGAATCAGGGGGAAATTTCCTGGCAGTGGGAATAATGGGTCAACGGAACGGGTGGGCGCATAGCCAAATGTGGGCGCTCCATCGCTGGGGGTTTTCAAGAAGAAGATTGGGTAACTCTTTGCCCAGAAGGGTCCGGGGGGAGGAGTGTCAAACTCACGACGTTGTCGCCACAAGACGTATTGCGACTTTCCCCCCTAGAGTAAAGTAGGGGTGGGCATGGCCAGCGCATGATGCACCTGGCCCACAGGTCGCAAGTTTTGACACCCCTGGTCTAGGATTTCCTGCTCAAGGGTTGGACTAGAAGACCCCCAAGGACCCTCCCGGACCTAATTCTACAATTCCTCCCTAACTCAGGTTTTAAGAAAGGGGCCGGGGGGGTGGGGGGAGAAGCACAATCAGTTATCCATCCTGATCTTTCTGCAAAGTCCGTTCGTTGATCTGGTCCACTTCAAGAGGCCGACAGTATTTGATTCACTACACCAGGACCAACAGGTTCAAACTGATCCCAGGTAACTTCACCAAACCGTGCCTGACTCACCTCCGTGGGATCTGCTCAGCCAAAACTTTCAGTGCCTCTTATCCGGGCCATCCTCTTCCTCTCTGACCATTCTCTATTGCGTTCTTCCTAATCTCTTAGATATTCTCTCTTTCTTTGGTCCTTATTTTTGAAAAAAAAAATGGTAAATCTTTAAATGCATCAAGGGTCCTGTTGCGTGCATATGAAGGGAACCAGCTTGGTGGTGTGGTTAAAGGTGCTGGCCTAGGAACCAGCGGATGGTGAATTCTAGTCCCACCTTCAGCACAAAAGCTGCCTGGGGACTTTGGGTCAGTCACTCGATCTCTCTCTCTCTTTCTCTCAACCCACCTCACAGGGTTGTTGTGGGGAAAATAGGAGGAGGAAAGGGTAGGAGGAATGTTTACTGCCTTGAATTACTCATAAGGTAATAAATGCAGGATAAAATTCAAATAAATAAACATAACATTGTAGTTGTTCTCTGCCAAAGGTGCAGTGTCTTCTCCCATCCTGAGACACAGAGTTGTAGGAGCAATAATGAACTCTTAGAAGATTTAACGTCCTTGTATTTTCTAAACCAAATGACCTGTTGCTGCTCTTTTTTCCTTTCTAGTGAAACCTCTGAGGTCTTGCAATATACAGCCAGTGAAGTGGACAGCTTGGAGAGAGTAAGTGGGAGGGGCCAACACCCCCTACCCCCCCTTGCGTATAAGGCTTTGTAGGACTATATTGGACCTGGCTTATGCCACAAAGAAATCAGATTAAAACAGGCCAATAGAAGTAGAGTTATGCTAAGGGAAAGCAGGGATATTTTTTAAAAAAACAAAGTAGAAGGAATTAGCATTTAAACAAGCAAAAGGTTGGATGTGTTGCAAAGGTAAAAAGTTGTTCAACCATTTAACATTCATGTGAGAAGCAACAGCAGAAGAAATTGTTTTGTTTCTTTGAAATCCGATTCACTTTGCAAAAGATAAAAGCAGAAATTCTCCACTTTTTTATGTTGAGAAAGTTGGACGGGTGGGGGCTTTGTACCCTGGAGGCATTGGGTTCAAGCCTTCCCCACCAATTAAAAGGATTTCGGTTTGTAGGTTGATAGGAATTGATTCTCATCTTTTAACCTACAGATTATTGAAGACATTGAAATGCTGAAATTTAATAAAGGACCATGGCTTGAACAAGATGATCTTACCTTGCATTACTTGAGGTGCAGGTAAGTTCAGTCCTCATGATTGAGATATGCTGATTTTGGGAATTTAAAACAGAAAGCGGTCCACGAGAAAGTTCCATGAGTGCCTTCCTTTGGGCTTTGAAAACTGTTTACATATTTCATTTCCCATACAGTATCTACACCTCTCCAACTCCAGCACAAAATTTGGAAATTATGGCTGTCAAACGATTAAAACTATTTCCAGGGTTCACAGAATATTTTTGTATCAGTTTATAGATGCAAGAAGCTCTGTGATACGTAAAAACTGATGTTTGTTTTCCATTCTTTCACACACACACACACCCCTCTCCATCATTTGCTTGCTCCCTGTATCCTGCCACATAGAGAAACTACAGTGTGGCAGGTTTGGTGTGAAAGCTTTTTGGTTGTTCCCCAGTAAGAAAAAAATGTGGAGAGTCAGGATTTCTTGCAAGGCTTGAAAGGCCCCCTGTGTGGAAAGTGCTGGGGGGGGGGGATAATTAGGTGGCCCTGCAGCGCCTGCCTGCTCTGGGGCGCTTGATGAGGGGGGGGGGGGAGAGAGAGAGAGAGAGAGATCCCCTCTGCCATTTCTTTCCCAGCTTTTCCAAGTTACGTCCATGATTTGTCCCCAGCGCCTGGTCCTCGGGGGTTGGCCTGCTGCCGCCCAGGTGCAGGGGCTTCATTTTGTCCTCGGCGAGAATTGGCCCATTCCTGGTTTTAACTCACTGGTTAAGCCTCTGCCAGCTCTTCCAGGCCGAGAGTGGCCGCCCAGCTGGGCTGGGGCTTCCAAGCCAGGGATACGGTGCTGCCGTCCCTGGGGTTTCCTCAGGGGAGGCTTCTGCTGTCCAGACCGGCCAGCCCTAACCCTGACCTCAGGCGCTTTGCTGAGCCATAACCGAGGGAAGAGGGCCCCAGTCCAGTCTTGGCTAGCTCCACAATAGGCCTCTTCTTCCTGGCCGCTTCCTGGTTTCTTTGCCACCGTGACGAGCCTCCTTTTCGTTTCAGTGTTAATGACAAATCCAAACTCATGTGTCCTCTGGCTGTTCCCGACTACGTTCCTGAAGTCACCGTAGGAGGCCTGGATGCTGACTCAATCTACCAGAGTTACCGGGAGGTAAGAGCAGGTCCCCTGGAGAAAAGCTGCCTGGCCCTTCAGAGGGGAGCCTGAGTCGAGGCTTTGGCCGTCGGTCCCTTTGGCCGCTCATTTTTCTCGTGGTGAATCTGCTGCCATTCAAATCCTCCTCTTTGGAGGCCACCGATTCGTCGATCTTAGACTGATAGAAAGGAAATAAATTTTATTAAGGATACATTGCTATTATCTTATCTAGTAATTACTCTTTTAAATTTCAAATCCACCGAGGCCGGACCAGTTCTCCTCCTCCCAGAGCCCCGGAAACAGCCGCTTGGAAGAAAGCAGAAAGTCCCCAGGACTTCCTGAGGAGGAAGAGGGTCGGATACGGAGGTGGTGGACTGGCTGAGAGGAGGTTTCCGTAGAGCTGATGCGTCTCCCCTGCTTTCCTTCTGTTGCAGCTTCCGGGACGCAAGTATGCCTCGGGTTACAACACTGACGTGGGAGACAAGTGGATCTGGCTCAAATAGCCCATTTCTTTGGAAGAACGACGTTGGCCAGAGGAGGAGGAGGTTAAGCCGCCAGTTGTAAATAGGCGACGTCTTTAGCAAAGGTGGCAGGTCTTCAGCTGGGAGAAGGAGCCAGCCAAAAGAAAGGCGCTTTAACGCCCCACCCAGATTCCCCTGAGCAGAATAAAGCGGCATTTGGAGCTTCCTGGCTGAAAACATGAGGTTCCTCCAGGTAGTTGTTGTCCATGTCTTTTGTCTTAGCCCCCCCCCCCCCCCCCCGGTGCTTCCTTTCCATCCGGAGGCCCTGCAGGCCCGAGCTTCTCTTTCCCAGGGGCCTCTGCTTGTCCAGGGCAGCACGTCCCCCCATGGCGCACAGCAGAAGCCTCCAGCCTGCCCCTTCTGCCCAACACGGAGCCCCAGAGCAGAGGCCCTGGTGGGGGCAGGACTCCGCAGAAGACCCTCTCACAAACGGCCCAATTAGCTGGAGTGCTCTAGAACCGAGGTCTCCAACCGTTTCAGCTTCACGACCGGCAGAGCGGGGATGGTTCCACACAAGCAGCGGGCAAGCGCGCGCGCACCCCCCCCCACTTGCCTGCTTTTTGCACGAGGGGACGGGCGCAACCTGGTTCTCCACGGCCCAGTGCTGGGCCACGCCCTGGGACTGGGGGCCCCTGCGGTAGAATCCTACCCCCCGAGTGAGTTGAGCCGCCTACCAGCCCCGGTTGGTTCCAAGGAAACGCCAGGCCAGATCGGAGCTTTCTGAATAAAGCGGCTGCTTCACGTTTAATTAAAAAGGGGGAACAGATTGTCACAGGTCTTAACACATCAGCAAAAGTAGGTTGGTGGGACTGAACGACGCTTAACAACATTCACGGCAGTAGCGCTCTACATTTGCACGGAGTGGAGTGGCGGGGAAGGGGGTGGCGTGGGCAGAAACCCCCGGGAGGGGAGGGGCTGGGTGGCGCTCCAGTCTTCGCAGGCAGTTCCCACCAATCTCTGGCACAGCTTTGCTCCCAGGCAGCCGGACTGAAATGCCAGAGAAGCTGCTGCTTCCTCCATGCCTGTCCCAAAGTGCCCGGTTCCTTAAGGGCCCACCGGGCCGGAGCCTCCCTTCCGCTGAGCACGGCGTCGTCCTTCGGAGGTTGCTGGCCAGGATGGCTGGAGAGGCCCCCCCACCCCACCCCCAATCTGAGTCACTCAGAGTCCCTATTTGCAGGTGAGCTTCCGGCAGGTCCCTGGTGGTGTTGCTTGATTCTCCTCTGGGGCTTTTCACGGCTGAGCTGCAGATTCCGCACCCACCTCAGGGCCTGCAGCGAGGAAGGGGACTTCCAGCCGGCGTGGCTCCAGGCCCTCCTGCCGCCAAGGGTCTGGGTCCACCTCTGCTCAATGGGAGGCCTGCTTGCTTGGCTCTGCACACTCGTGGCTCAGCCGCCTGGGAAGGTTCATCCGCAGACCAGGCGCTGCTCTGGAATGACTTGAACTGCCCCAGAAACAGTTGGGATGCTGGGCGATCTTAAGGGGGGCGTTTCTGGGGAAGGGGCTGGACGGGGAGTGCTGGGGGCCCTCATGCGTCTCCTCCGTTTTGTGGGGCAACCCCCTCCGCCCCCCAGAGGCAGCCAGGACAGAGACCAGGACCGCCCAGAGCCCCCCTGGAAGCCCAGCCCGGCTGCACTGGGAAGGCCCAACGGCCCCCCGACTCTGAAAAGAGGAGGGTCCCAACTGCCTGGGGAGGAGAACCAGGGAGCTGGGAGGGAGACAGCGAGGCCATTGGCCCCGGGTGTCACTCCTGCTGGGTGGCGGTTGAGAAGGTGCCTTTCCGGCGCCAGGAAAGGGGAGCCCCCTCCCCGCTTTCCCACCCAACTGCTCCAGGTTCTGGCTCATGCTCGGAGGGGGGGCAGCTGCGCACTGGGGCTGCCGGCTTCCTTCCTCGGGGCCGGGGGTGGGGGGGGTGTTCCTTGGCGCCTGCCCACGAGGCGCCCTAAAGCCTCTGCGATGCACGACACAGGCGGGGCTCACGCTGGGCGGGCCGGAGGGTGGCGGCGGCGGCGGCTGCTGCTGCGAGGGGCTCAGAAGAGGCCGGCTTTCTTCTTCAGCTCGTTCCGCTTCCACAGGGCCAGGCGGGAGAATTCCTCCGGGGACGTCTCAAAGACCCGCTGGAAGTCCTCGGGTGACAGGTGCCGCTGGGGGGGGGGGGGGAGGGGAGGGGGGGGGGGGGGGTCCGCCCGGCCCCGCCCCCGCGGCCAACCCGGGGCCGGAGGGGCGGGGGGGGGGGCGCCATACCTCCAGTCGCGTCCGGTCCACTCCGGGGGGCAGTTTGACTCGCCCTCGGTTGGTCACCACCAGCATCTCGTAGGGATAAATCTTGGGCCAGGGAGAAGCAAAGAGCCAGCCGGTCACCAGGCCTGTGGCGGGAGGCCTGGCTCTGCGGCCCCCCCGCCCCCCCCCCCGGGGGGCCCCCCCTCACCTTTTGCTCCAGCATGCTGGGGAGGGAGCTGCCCCTGTCCATGCGGCTTCTCTGGCCGTTCTGCAGGGGGAGAGGCACGGGGGGCCCTGAGTCCAAGGGCCCATCCCATGGGGCCCGGGTGGGGGGCCCTCCTAGGCCTGCCCCTCCCGAGTCTAGGGGTGCTGAGGGTGGGGAGAGGCGTCCGTGGGGCCTCTGGGCCGCTCCCTTCCCCCGCCAGGGTGCCTGCTCACCTGCAGACCTGCAAGACAGAAGGGAGAATGAGGCTGGGGGAGGAGCAGGAGGACCCCCGGGGGAGGGGAGGGGGGCCAGGAGCGTCTCTTACCTGGGCTGCCCTTTTCACTGCTGCCGGATCCAAACTCGGTCGACTGCAGCTGCGGAAAGAGCAGCAGAGCAGCGTCAAGGCAGGTCGCTCTCCCGCCTCCCGCCAGGCTGACTACGAACAAGGCACCAGCAGCCACCAAGACGCTGCTCTCCCTGCAGGGCTGGAGCCTGAGGGCCACCAGCCGGGCCCCGGGGACGGGGGGGGTGGGGGCAGGCATGGCGGGGCAGGCACCCCACAGGTCTGCTCAGTGCAAGCCTGGCCAGAGGAATTGGGGCAGGAGGGGCAGGCGGCTGAAGCGAGGGAGGCCAGGGAGGTTTGGAAGCGGTGGGAGCCCCTGCCCAGCACCCACCTGCTCTGACCCTCCCTCCTTCCCCGTCTATCTTTCCCCTCCCCTCCCCCTTTCCTCCCACTGTTCCATTCCCACCTCTGGGCAAGCAAGAGCAAGAGCAACCCGGGTGGAGGTGGGAACCCAGGAAGGCCCCGCCCCTCTTCCTTGCCTGCCATCCCCGGGGGTCTCCGCTTACCCGGGCAAGCGTGTGTCTCCCAGAGGCGTGAAGCGATGCCGATTTGGTGCTTCCTCCATGCGAAGCTGGAAGAGAAGCAGCCGGTCACTGCAGGGCCCTGCTCTGGGGGGTGGGCTGCTCAGGGGGTGGCGCAGGAGCACCTTTGGCTGCAACCGGTGGGGGAGGGAGCCAAGCAGCAGGTGGGGGCAGGGAGGGCTTCGCAGCCCCAGAGGCAGGGCTCTCCCAGACTTGTGGACTTCAACTCCCAGAACTCTCAGCAAAGCTGGCTGAGGAATTCTGGGAGTTGAAGTCCACAAGTCTTAAAGGGGCCCAGGCTCTAAGGAGCGGCCCCAGAACAGGAAAAGGCCCAAACGCTTCCGTGGTTAATTCCCAAACTGGATGGCCTGGACTGGGATTAGAGGCTTTCACAAACTCAAACTGCCCAGCATTTCTAGCCTCTTTGGGGAATGGAATGAATCCTGGCTGCAGCGCAGACTTTTCCCACCATCCGGTCCTGAAGGCGAGACCGGCTGCTCCACTCGTGCGAAGGGCAGGGATGCAGCCGGGTCCACGGGCGGCCAGGGCTGAAATGCCAATCCATGGCGGCGGCAGCAGCAGCAGCTGCTGTCTCAAAACCCTTAATGGGGATCTGCCAGCATGAATGCCAAAGGGCAGCCTCGCCCTCCAGGACAGCTGCCCGCTTGGCCCCCTCTAGTCCAATGGAGAGGCAACCTTTACAACCAGGCGGTCCTTGCAAGGCCGCGTAGCTGCACGGAAAGGCCAGGCCAGGCCAGGCCAGGCCAGATTCGCGGAAGGCCCTCTCCAGGGCACTTGGCACTCCAGGAGCCCAAAGGCCGCCCCAGGAGGGGAGGGGATGGTTCTGCAGG